CGTTGTAAATGCTACAGAGTTTGTTGATGAAATTACCAGGCAGATGTTTAATCATTGAATTAGAGATTTTGTTCTTCCCAGGTGCTTTTCTTTTATGAAGTTTAGCTATAATAGAGCTAACTTTTGTGGGAGAGGTAAAAACAGAGAGATTTTGGACACTGGGCTGGTTAATCCAATTATCGACAAACATGTTAATGTGATTAATGAGATTATGGTCTGAAGGGGTCTCATTTGGAGTGAACTGTTTGGTGAAGTGGGTGGTAAAGGCTTTGCCTTCGTTGCTGTATTTGAATCCAGTGTCGTCCTATAGAGGTTTGTTGCTTGTTTTTGTCGACTTAATTAAACGGAGGGACTTCCAGAATTCTCAGTCTTCCGCATTTAATTTTTCAATTTTGTTATTCCAAAGTTTAGTCTGGTGGGAGTCAATTAACCTTTTAATGTTGCGATTAAGTTTATTAATTTGCGATTTAATTGCCGGGTCACGTGAGTGGGCGAAGATCTTACGGAGTCTATTTCGTGTTTAGCTAATTAATTTAATTTTTTGCGGAAGTTTGAAGTAATGTTTTTTATTAATAATTTCTGTAGTAGAATTTTGCAATGCCTTATCAATGCAGGTGATGATGCTTGTGATAGCCTGGTCGATATCATGTGTATTTTTAAGTTGCTCTGTTTTGGGGAGGTGATTGTTAATTTCAGATTTGAATTTGTCCCAATCAGTAATTTTGTAAGTAGTGTTGGCTTCAGGCCTGCTAATACCCAGGTGTGCCAGAACTGGCACGTGATCTGAAGAAAGGTCATTGATTACTTCCGCAGTGATCGGTAAGTTATCAGATGTGAGGAAAAGATTCAGTATGTCTGGATACTGTCTTGGGTGAGTAGGCCGGAAAGTAAAATCTTCTGGGGGTGTAAATCTAGTATGGGTAATTGAACACGAAGGTTTGAAGGATATCACCGTGTTTATTTGCTTTGTGACACCCCCAGCTAACACGTTTAGCATTAAGATCAATTCCGATTATGGTGGGAAAGGAGTTAGTAAATTCTGTAAATGTTGATCTTGCAGCCTGAGATCTGGAGTGTTGTAAAGGCCGCATACAAGCATATTTCCCCAATTAGGGATCCGAACGACTACCCTTACTTCTTCAAACCCATGAGAATTGGCAGGAGTCCAAACTCCGCTTAACATAGATTACGGCACCTCCGCTTCTATGTCTAATCCTGTCGCAGCGATAACTGCAATAGTTAACAATACTCAGGGAGTGCGCTAGCGTAGCGTGTGTCTCAGTGATTAGTGCAATGTCAATGTTGTAGTGTGTGAGAAAGTCCTGCATTTCGCTAATTTTGGTGACAATGATATGCGCATTCCATGTCATGATCGTCACTGGGGTCATTTTTACTAAGGACCTACGACCCATAATTTATCTCAGTATCGGGCCTCACTGTATTTTGCTTTCCAGCCATGGCAGTTGTATTGTGTAAAAGCGCTATAAGATCAGCGAGATTCTTTATGACCTTCTGAGCGTCCGCTACAGCTTTCTGAATTTTCCCAGCGAAAATATCAGATTGAACAGACTGGGCGTAGGGTTTCTTCTTTGAGAAGGCTTCACAACCCCTCCAGTTGCTGGTATGCTTCCTGACACAATTACAACATTTTGGCTCAAAATCTTTGGGTTCTGGGCAATCTCGGCTTTCATGAGGGCCTGCACACTTACAGCGGCGAGACGGGTGGTGACACGCCGCCTGCGCGTGATGGTAGCCAGGGTCAAAGCACCAACCTACGGTGCTTTGGTGCGGTGCTCGTGGCCGGGGCCAAAGCACCAACCTACTATTAGCCTCTAACAGCAAAAGGAAGTGCGCAAAATCAAGTGCAAGGAAAATCAGAGAAAGGCGCTGAAGCTCCTTCACGCTCCGAGTTGAACTCAGAATCAAGATCAAGGTCGTTCTTTCAACAGCGAGGAGAAAAGCGTCCGTCTAACTCGAAAGTCAGGGGTGAACTCACCTGCTGAGTGTGCCCGTACTTCTGGCATTTATAGCACTGGGTAGGGTGCCTTCCTTAACATCTAAATTTTTCTATTCGGACAAAACTAAAGATGTTATTTACGTTATATATTGCATTACCTTCGGGTGAGTTATCTAATTCTATGAAGTAGAGAAGAAGTTTTTCACATGTTTCTCCTGATTTCCTTGTGAACTGCTTGATTTTCTTTACTGGAAATTTTATATCGGTTAGATTTTGAAAGAGTTCCTCTTCGGGGATGATTTCAGGGATATTCTTAATAACGGCTTTTATGGTTCTTTCATTATCGAAAAGATAGGTATGATAACTTCTTTTGAGCTGATCGAGCGTTAACGTGATATTCCTATGGTCTTCAGTGTTTTTCGGATAAATGAAGATGGACTTCATTCTGAGCTGAGATTTGTATTCTGCAATAGAGATATTCTTTAGGAAGCCGTCAAGCTCTAATCAATTTAGTTTCTCCTTCGTGATGACTATTGGTGGTATTCTACTTCCTTCATTACTGGGAGTATTATCGGTGCGGTTATCAACTGAAATTTCTATGGGTAGTTTATTGAATCTATTTTGCTGCGGGATTTCCGAGCTTACGGAATCGTTATCATTAATTTTATCCGTTTTGCGGAGGAGTGTCCATTCTGAGCTACCACCTGTAGACTCTGCACGTTTACTTGTTTCAGCTATTCCTTTCACCAAGTTCGGGAAAAATTTCTTCAGTTTTTCCTTATGTTGATTTTCTCTTTATCCTCAGCAGCTTCCTTTAATTTGCGCAGTTTTCTTTTGTGTCTATCTTCAATATATTCTTCCGTTTCCGCAGCAAGAAATTGCTGAAAGATTGGGTCATCTGGATTTACTGATTTATTACGTCCATATTCATTACGATAGGCTTCAACTGCTAAGTTAAAAATAAATTCCCGTTCTCGTTTGTTCATTTTTCGGTTGATTAGTAACTCGGTCGTATCGAAATATCCATCGGGCTACTCGAATTAGGTCTATCTGGGGGTACCTTCGGGTATTAGAGGGGCGTGTCTACGCCTTTTAGGTGGTGGGTAGATGCCATAGTCCCGACCAATGATGGCTCTTGGTCTCTTTCGTGAGTTGCGAATGGCTGGATCGTACTCTGGTAGTTGTTGCAATGCTCGGTTCAATCTTCAGTCTGTTCAATTTTGATGAAAAAATTTTGACCAAGTTTTTGAATAACATAATCCACAGGTTTAATGTTTAAGTCCGAATGAATCACATCTGTACGGACGTACCAGGCTGTGTTCAGGGCCATACGTAGCGTTTTACTCTGAAAGGATTGAAGTTTTTCCACATGGATCTTGGATCATATCTTTACTGCTGGCTTTAGCTACTAGGAGCTCTTACCAGTATATTATCATTATACCATATGCCATAAGGTTAAAAATTTAAGAGGTGTATTTAAAAATACACCGCGCCCGAAGTCGAGATCAATAAATGAGAGAACTCATCAAATAAGTTTTGCTAAATTGCATATCATGGCATAGCATGGGTGATTATATAAATGGCGGCGAGAGGCGAAATGAAAGTCTAAGCTTCTGGGTGAGTCTAGAAGAGCAGAAACACGTGATCAGCGTCCGGCATTTAGATTGGTCGAGGAGTCAGAGTTCGAAAAATGAAGTTTTTTGTAGTTTTTGGAAATAAATAAAGTTCGAACATAGTAAAAGCAACATCTATCTGTGAATTTAAGAGTCCTATGTCTTTTGAAACACTTGAAAATCTTCTAAACTTGCGATATAATCATTAAATGAATAGAAAACTGTAAAATTTTTCACATGAGTTATCCTCTAAAAAAGAATATTCTTTAAATTTATGTAGTAGAGTGGTGGATTATCTGGCTAACCTTCCGGTAACCGGGGTCAGTTGGCGCCAAACTATTTTTGGCGGCAATGAGAACACTAAGATATGATTTTTAAACGTGAACAGAATAGTAACTTTTAAGTTTTGCAGTATTGAAATACCGTTATTTTATGTAAAAAGAATAGTAAAATGGGATGATAAAATACTAGATGAGTAAGACAAAGTCCATCAGCCTTGCAAGTAAAAACATAGTCCTATCTATGTAATTCACGATAAAATAGTATAATGAATAATAAAATAATAAATTGTATTACACTTTCCTCGAACTCTAAACTGGTCAACCAAGTAATTGTCAATTTCATTAACAAAAGGTGCATCATAAACTCACTAAAATATACAAGTTACTATGGTCGTGGAATTCACACTAAATCAACTTTCGTTCAAAACTTTAAGCATTCCACATCTTTCGATTGCCACATGCAAGAAACAAAACTTAAATAATAATAATAATAATAATAATAATAATGAACTGACCCTGAAAACATTAACTAAATAAAATTAAATGAAAACATTCATAAGTTATAAACTTCACGTCATCTAAAATCCAACATTCTCCCACCAACAACAGCCTAACCTCCTGAAAATATTAAAACAGTAAAACCTTTAAAAACAAACACAGTATTTCATGATTAAATTAAAAAGAAGTATTTGCTGGCTATAGTAAACTCGCACTCATTACAAGCACCGAAATAAAGCTCTAGGTTTGCCACAGGAAAACATACAGCCAGAAACCACAACCAAATCAAAATCGCGTCAAATTAAAAACTCTCGCCAAGTTTGGCGCTCACGCCGATTATGGAAGATTAACTGATTATCTCGACTTGCCTGAAGAGTATACCCTGTAAACAAAAACGTTATTTGAGAATCTTTGATGTGTAATGTTTCTTTATTAAAATAACTGCCTTTGCGGAGGTGGAGGTTCAAAGGCAGATGGATTAAAAGCAGAAAATTCGGTTAATCTTCGCATTGTATCTTACAAAATTAAAGTAAAAAATGCATATTTTAAACCTAAAGTAAAGATTCCATTTTAATACTTCATGAAGTTGCTTAGTCCACTCCCCCCGAAAAAAAGTACGCACATATGACATTGTTTAATGGTAACATTACAAGATGGTGAGAAACTTTTTATTATGGTTTCACAATTTTAACACTTCTATACAGACAGTGCAGATTTCAACATAAATACAGTTTGATTGTTACAAATAAATATAGTTTACGCAAATAAAGGTCATATAAATAAAATAAAATAAATCAAAGGTTTATGTAAATAAATATTTTCATTTAAAATCGGAGAAATGTTCTACTTAGATAAAACAAACTAAAATCATTTTGAAAACACAGAAAAATAAGCATATATACATAAATAATTAGAAATGAAGTACATTTTCAAGCTATGCCACATGTTTGAAACCGTATACATCTACTTCGGCGAGTTGAAGAACATTAGCATCATTTTCAGGACAGTCATCGCAAAACTTAATAATCTGCACGCTGATATAACGGCCATGAAGAGGACAGGGAAGGCATATGAATTTTCTTACGACTGCATCACCGATTCCACCACCGACGTGTTCTCCACAGAGTGAATTTTCTTCAAAAATCTCATTGTCCCATTTTTTCCCCAGTTTGACATGGCCCACACGGATCTGAATGTCATGTAGACGAAAAGCTGAAATGCAACAAAAAATTCTTTTTATAGAAGAATGGAAATGTTTGAAGATTTTCTGAGATGCCTAGTTAGAACTTTTGTCGCCTCTTTTGATATACAAACAAATAACTGCAAAAAATGTTAATAAGAAAGACAAGTAAATAAATTAAAATTCTTCGTTTATTTTTGAAGTAAAATTTTTAATTACGATATTCTAAAATTATATTATTTTAACTGATTTTGTTCGCAAAACCATCAGTGACAATGTAGACGTAGGTCTATTTGATTGTTATTGCTGTTATGTACACAGTACAGAAATATTAAATGCAAAATATACATTTGTAGTTTCTAAATGCTTCTTAAATTATTTTAATTTAGAAAATGCTTCAGAGCAATGCCCTTCCACATTATTCTTTTGATTTTCCTGGCAGTAACGGAAATAAAAGTCTGAAATGTTTCTTTTTTAACTAGGAATTCTTCCTTATGAATGTCACCCTGCTCATAATTTAGTTGATATTGGTAATCTGCATTCAAAAGTTTCAACGAAATAATAATAAAAAAAAGTATAGCGAAAATAAGTACCTCTTGAAATCACATAGTAATTTCTTTGAATACTTTATTTAGTGAAAAACTATTTTTCTCAATTTAATTCCATATGGCAAATTAAAAGCCTAATTCTTCACCAACTTTTGATGATCTGCTAAACTGAGCCCTGTAAAATAATATTTCACGGTGTAGAGTCATTAGGTTTATTTTTGGATGCAGGAGTCATGAAAAATGTGCAACGTCCTCGCCGGGAATTGAACCATGGACCTCTGAAATACGCGCCCAGCGTGCTTACCATTACACTAATAAAGGCACGTTAAGAAGGCGGTAGAAACACTTTATAACGCAAAAAATGCCGCCCGTGGCATACGGCCCCTCCTACCCACTTCTAACTACGCCTCTGTATTTCGAAATCTAGAGACAGGATGAGTAATTTGATTCATGCAGATTCATTTTCCCTCATATACACTACCATATGTAAACTTTCAAACTTTATTAATTATCCAATTATATAGAATAATAATACCTCCCATTTCCATAGAGGACCAAATCTTTTTATTGCCGTGCCTCATACATCCCGCAATTTTACTAAAAATCCCAATTTTATTCTATTTTTCAAAATTTACTAAAGAAATGGTACTGGTAAGACCCGCCTAACGCTAGAGGGCGCTCAGAGCGCCATTGAGTGTATGCTGAGACTCGATGGAAGTTGCTTGATGGATGATTTGGAATTGATTTGGATTGATGTGGAATGCTTGATGGCGATTTCTGAGATTGAGATATTATTATATTTAATTAAATCAATTCATATTTTATTGATTGGTGATTATTGAATTTGATTTATTGATATGAGATGTTTTGCTAAACCACCACACTTTCTACAGACTTGGATTACCACAGAACCTTAAAACCACCGATGCGCATTTGGTGCATCTACGCCAAGAACCAGGTAGGAGAATCTTTATTGAATTATTGAAACTGAATTATACCTGGATAGAAATTAAATATGGCTGTAAATCTGCCAAAGTTGAAGAAGAAACGCAGTTCCGTGCGTTCGATGTTGACGAAATTAATTAACAAAATAGAAGTTGCTATCAACAACGAAAACGAAACAGTTAATCAGTTGGAAGCATTTTTGGAACAATTAATCGGAAAAGAAACTGATTTAAATTCTTTAAATGATGAAATTGAAAATCTTTTGAGCGTCGAAACACTATCTGAAGATATAGAAGCTTCAGAAGAAATAAAAGAAAAAATAATTTATTGGAAATCGAAATTTCATTCTAAAATAAAGAAATTGAATTCTGATTCTATCCAAGTTGATACAGTTTCACGAAACATTCAGTTGATTAATACTGAAACTGAAAATATAAATATAAAATTGCCTAAATTACATATTAGTAAATATTATGGTAATTATTCTGGTTGGTTAGATTTTTACAATTTATTTGAAAGCTCTGTTCATAATAATCCTAAATTAAGCAAAGTTGATAAATTTAATTATTTGAAATCCTATCTCGGTGGTACCGCGGCAGCATGTATTTGTGGATTTGCTTTAAGTGATGAAAATTATGATATAGCACTTGATTTATTGAAAGAAAGGTTCGGAAATAAAAACGTTTTGATTAATACTCATTTGAGTGTTTTGCTGAATTTAACTCCCGTTAAAATTCCTAACGATGTTATAAGTTTACGAAATTTATATGATAATGCGGAAACGCAGATCAGAAGCTTAGATTCTTTAGGAATTACAGGTGAATCATATGCAAATCTATTGACAACAATTTTAATGAAATTAATTTCTTCAGAATTCGTTTTAGAATTTAATCGCATTGAAGGCGACAAAGAATTTGACTTAAAAACTCTTTTGCAATTCATTAATAAAGAAATTCGAAGCCGCGAGAGATCCTTTCCAATAAATAATTATAAATCATCGAATCAACGAGTGCACTTATGTTCCTCGCAAGAGAAAATAAAAAATAAAAATCCTACTTCCGTTAGACATAACTCTTCAAGACCTCCGCATAAGAGAGAGAATTCTTTCCCCTCCCCACACACGCATGAATTCCTGGCGTCAGTCGAAAATGTAATGTGTTTATTTTGTAGCAAAGATCATAAATCAGAATCATGCTCTACATTTAATGCAAACGAACGGAGAGATTTAATGCAAGCAACGAGGTCAATGTTTTCGTTGTTTGACCCCAAACCATCGAGTGAAAGAATGCTTGAAAAAGGATTTGTGTCCCATCTGCAGCAAACCTCACTATGTTTCAATTTGTTTTCGAAACCAAAATAATCCACACATTATTTCTCCAAAGGTAGAAACCGATAATGTCGTATCGGCGAATGTCGTATCCGCAAAAAGGAATACTATGTCACAAACATGTTCAACCTTAATTGATAATGGAAAAGAGCAGGAAATTATTAGAATTTTCCTGGACAATGGTTCACACAGCTCCTTTATTTTAGCAGCTATTTCCAAAAGATTTAACTTTCCAGTTGTTAGAAAGGAAAGCCTTTCAATTTGCACATTTGGTATTAAGGAAACGGAAACAAAATCATTTAATGTAGTTAAACTTAAATTAAAGAATAGAGATGATCCAAATTTATGCATAGAAATTGAAGTACTAGAGACAGAACATGTTTCGGGTACGCATTTACCGACTCCGGATAAAAATATAGAGAAACAATTTAGACGTTTAAAAAATGTACAACTAGTGGACTGTTATGAATTTAAACAATAAAGAAATATCAATACTAATAGGTGCAGATTACTATTATTATATTGTCACTGGTCGAATTACACCCTTAAGCAAAACCCTCGTTGCAGTTGAAACAATATTTGGGTGGTGTTTGCAAGGCCGAAACACGAACTTAAATGAAACGTTTGCAATGAGTGTTATGGTAAACGAATCCAATATTTCCGATCAACTCAAGGAATTTTGGGATTTAGAGAATTGGGTATCGAGGCAGAAGTAGCTGAAATAGAACCCACTGAGAAAGAAATAATGAGTGAATTTGAATCCGGAATTACATATCAAAATAAGCGATACAAAGTGAAATTGCCCTGGAAACCAAATATGAAGACATTATTAGAAAATAATGAGCAGATAGCAATGAAAAGATTTTTGAGATTGAAATCATCTTTTAAAAATGACTCGTCCTTATTTTGTGAATATAACACTGTTCTAAAGAATTAGCTTTAGGAGAATATTATTGAACCTGTCCCAATTGATGAAGTAAATTTACGCCAAAATACATTTTATCTACCTCATCGAGCTGTAATACGTACGGATAAGACTACAGGCAAATTACGAAGTGTGTTTGATGCTTCGGCGCATGCAAAAGATCAATTATCTTTGAACGATTGCTTATACATGGGACTTAATTTTATGCTTAACCTATTTCTTCTTTTGATCAGATTTAGAACGAATCCGATAGCAAATTGTTGCAGATATTAAGATGGCTTTTCTCCAGATTGGAATAGATGAAAGTGAACGAAACTACACCAGATTCTTCTCGGAAGAAGATCCAGGAGCTGATGATGAAAATAAGAAATTGGAAATTTTTCGGATGACAAGGGTGTTATTTGAGGTGAGATCTAGACCGTTCCTCCTTGCAGCCACAATCAAACATCACTTGAAAGGGTACGTAGATATATTTCCTCTGACTTCTAAGCATCTTAATGATGCTTAGATCATTGTACGTCGACGATTTTATTTGAGGGCAAATCACTGTTCTACAGGCTCTAAAGACTTGTAAAGAGAGTGTAGACATTCTAAAAGAGGCAAGCATGGACCTTCGAAAGTGGAAAACCAATTCTTCTGAGCTAAGTAAAGAATTAAAGAAATTAAACTTCAATGTAGATCAGGGTGAAGAGTCTTTAGATACAAATTTGATAGCTTAAAAAGTATTGGGAATTGGTTGGGATGAACAAACTGACACGTTTTATTTCGATACCAGAAATCTGGAAACATTTCTTTTAAAACGAACTAACACAAAAAGACACTTACTTCAAGCATTAGGTCGACTTTTCGATCCAGTAGGTTTTATAGAACCGTATACTATTAGAGTTAAGTACTTGATACAAGAAATTTGGTGTTTAGGATTAGACTGGGATGAAAAATTGCCCAAAAAGTTAGAAATTGCTTGGAATAAATGGTGCGATGAGATCCAAGATGTAAAGGAAATAATTATTCCCGATATTATTTTCAAAATTCTTTGCCCAGTCATGCAATCACTATTCAATTACACTGTTTTTCAGATGCATCTAAGAAAGCTTATGGTACTGTTGCGTACTTACGCATAGAATTAAAGAGTGGAAATATCATTTCTAGGTTTGTAGCATCAAAGAGCACGTAGCTCCGTTAAAAACCCTTTCGATTCCTAGATTGGAACTCATGGGTGCACTTTTGTCTTCAAGATTGAGCAATAAAGTTGTAACTGCACTAAGTTTTCCAGTTACTCGATATTTT